TCTTGGTGTTACACACGGAATGACAAAGTTATATATACCCTCTATCACCACTGATGGTGGTGGAGGGTATAAAAATTAGGAAAAAAGTGGGACACTTCTGTTAAACATAAGGTACTATGTAATCCTAGCTTATTTTAAAAGCCCTGTTTAGGAAATTTGCATAGGCATTCCAACTCTTCCATAAAATTTCAGCCGTAAATTAATTATTGTAATTGGAATATAATCTTAAGATTGATAAATTTTATCAAACAGTTATCAATTTTACAAATAAATTTTTTTAATTAATTAGGAAAATCAAAAAAGTTTAACCAAAAGAGCTGTAGAAAATGTACTCTAGTTCCTCGACTCGAATATTTTTAAAATTTAGACGGGCTGTATTATTATTTACTTAAAAATTTCATTTAAATAATCTTTGAATACAAAGCAAATAAAAGTATTCGAAACCGGGTTTTAAAAAGTGAAAAAAAACCGGGTTATTCGATATTCGAAAAATCAACATTAAGAAAAAACCGACACTGGTAAAGCAGAAAAAACCGGTTTTAAAACCGGTTGAAAAATCGAGTCGATCACCCTATAAAAAACACGTAACTGACCAAGTTCAGCACCTGAAGGGTAATCAGAAGTCTAAATAACATTAATAGTTATTTTCAAACACAAAAATAAATATAATTTGCCTTACAGCTTCTTAAAATGCAGAAAATTAAAAATCTAAAAAGAAAACTAAAAAATCTATTAAGTATGCAAAGATGTAAACTAAATGGTTGAATGTACAAACATTTAATATTTATTTTAAAATAACGGTCAACAACCGTTTAACTAGAGTTTAACTTAACATTAACATAACAAAGATCCCTAAAGGGAAATGAAATAAAGTGAAAATAAAACAGCTAAATAGAATATTTAATACAAACTTGTATACAAAAACAACAAAAATTCTATATGTTACGGAAACCAGTACTTATGAAAATGCAAAAATATTTCTCATTATTGGTGGGTGCTATAGACAGTGTTGCGATGTCTGAGTGTTCCAAAACAAAATGGTGGTGGTGGTTGGATGTTTTTTTCTTCCTTTTTTGTTGCTCAGTTCAAAGTAATGTTACACACTTGGTTGGTTTTGCGCGAAATACTGGAAAATTATAGCGGCACGTTGCCTGCATCTTAAGTTAAACACCAGTAAACAAACAAAAAATTAAATGCAATTTATATTTGAAATTATAACTTAGTTCTCGCCCCTTCGGCTTATTTAAAAAATATTTTGGTATTTAATTTACAAAACAACCACAACAACTGGCATGACCCCTTTAAAAACAAACTCTTTCTTCATCGTAACAACACCTATTTACAATTGTTAAATGTTAATTTGAACAAACGAACGGAACCCTTTCCTCATTGAAATCAGTCACGTTTTTACTAAATATATAAGTACATACATACATATTTAAATATTTTCTTATTTAATGATTCATTAATTTTTGCTGAGCTTTTTTCTTAGTCACTTGTTTTGATTTTCTTTTTAATGTTCAACAAAAAAATATTTTTCAATCTATTACTTCTTGCATTAAACTTCAAATATTTTGTTGTTTTTATTTTGGTTGTGCTCAAATATTTTCAAAAATTTTGTCATATTTTATTTAAAAAATAAAGAATAAAATAAATTTAGAAAATTCTTAAACAATTTGCTGGTGTTTTTACGTATAAATAAAAAATGGATATAAAAAGTCGTAGTGCTACCAAGGGAACAAAACCTCCACTAACAACAGAAAAGAAAAAGTTGCAGGTAAGTCGAGTTTTGAAATTACAAGATTTGAAAAAGTGCGGAAGAAATATTATATCAGATTGTTTGTACCTGAAGAACATTATTTGAAAGGAAAATTGCAGCTCAATTCAAAAAATCTTTAATAAATGTATGCAAATTTGTTTGATCTACTCATGATCATACATACCTTGATACTAATTAAACCAACAATAGAAGATAAGAGGGCTGTGTATTTTTACCACTAAGAAGTACACTTTAATACAATGACTATTGGAATGTTTTGTTTTCATTAGAAATCAACCTTAATAAACTATTTAATTTAGTATAGACCAAAACTGAACTAGAACTGAACTAGAACTGAACTAGAACTGAACTAGAACTGAACTAGAACTGAACTAGAACTGAACTAGAACTGAACTAGAACTGAACTAGAACTGAACTAGAACTGAACTAGAACTGAACTAGAACTGAACTAGAACTGAACTAGAACTGAACTAGAACTGAACTAGAACTGAACTAGAACCGAACTAGAACTGAACTAGAACTGAACTAGAACTGAACTAGAACTGAACTAGAACTGAACTAGAACTGAACTAGAACTGAACTAGAACTGAACTAGAACTGAACTAGAACTGAACTAGAACTGAACTAGAACTGAACTAGAACTGAACTAGAACTGAACTAGAACTGAACTAGAACTGAACTAGAACTGAACTAGAACTGAACTAGAACTGAACTAGAACTGAACTAGAACTGAACTAGAACTGAACTAGAACTGAACTAAAACTGAACTAGAACTGAACTAGAACTGAACTAGAACTGAACTAGAACTGAACTAGAACTGAACTAGAACTGAACTAGAACTGAACTAGAACTGAACTAGAACTGAACTAGAACTGAACTAGAACTGAACTAGAACTGAACTAGAACTGAACTAGAACTGAACTAGAACTGAACTAGAACTGAACTAGAACTGAACAAGAACTGCAGTAGAAGTGAACTAGAACTGAACTAGATTTAAAACTATGGTAAAATGCATGGATGTAAAATTATTCCCATTTCGTTTAATTCACAAACATTTACATTCACATTCGTTCACATCCATTTTTTCATTTCCCAAAAAAAAATTAAAAAACAAACTTGGCACTACTTATTGATTGCTAAAAAAGGGTTTCTGAATTAGCTATTTAGTTTTGACTACGTTTAGCTAAGACTCATCACACAAACAATTCAAAATAATATATAACACAGTGGTGCCAGAAAAATGTTGACTTTTGTCCCCAATCTTACACTGGAAATTCCCAAAAAATTCCCATTTTTTAATCTAAATCTCCACAATTTTCCCCAAAAACATCAGGATTGATTGCAAGACATTAGGGGAGTTAATTCGTGACACCAATAGGTGTAGGATTGAATTTCTCGAAATCGTAGAGAGTAAGGTAAGAAATCAGTTCGAAATATTTAAAACCGATCCATATACAAAAGTAGAATGAATAGAATTGTTAAAAAATATAAAAATCCTCAAAAATAGCGGAAAAATAATAAAAATTACCCAAAATTTTCGAAAATCTCCAAATCTCTCTCCCATGAAAATTTATCCCCAAATAAAACATGAAATTCCCAATTTGGGCACAAATCCCCACATCTGGCGACACTTTTATAACAAGAAATTATAGCGGATATATGTAGTGCCAATAATACCCTACATAATTTGTTTTTTTTAAGTATGCTTTTTCTTGGTATATTTGTAATATATTTTTTTATATGTTTTTATAATATTCCTTTAAGGATCAAAAACTGTCCGTAGATGAAAAGAAATGTATAGACGAATTAAAGAAACTGTATATGGAAACAATAAAACTAGATGTAGATTTGCAGCGTGAAATCTACAATCTAGAAAAATCATTCGAAAAGAAACACAATGAAATCTTTGATAAACGCATTAAAATACTAGAGTAAGTTGGAAAAATAAAAAATATTTCAATTAAGTAAAAAGAAAAATCTGCTATAAAACCATAGTGTTGATAAAATATTACCTTATTATCATAATGACTAATATACTCTCTGACGTCTTCTCAGAGAATTCAAAAATGTAGCCAAAGGTGGAGATGCTAAAGATGAAGGTCAAGTTAATAATTTCTGGCTGAAAGTCTTAAAAGCTTCCTATACCGAATTTATAAGCAAAAGGGATGAAAAAATATTGGTGGTAAATAGTTTAATGATTTGTACTAGAAAATACTAAATATTTATCAAATAATTATAGCATTTAAGTGATATACGTTCAAAACTTTATAATGAACCGGTAGTCAAGTTTGTGATTGAATTTTTCTTCGAGCCCAACGGTTATTTTTCAAATCGCATTTTAACTAAAACTTATTTTCTAAACTGTTTGCCGGATAATGATGATCCACTGTCTTATGACGGTGCTGAAATCTACAAATGTGAGGGTTGCAAAATTGATTGGAAGCAGGAAGATAAGGAGCATGAGAAAAAATGTAAATTTCAAGGATGTTTCATAAGTTCTTTATAAAAAAAATGTTTTTTTTTTTAGCTTTTACTTCATTTTTCGACTTTTTTGATCCACCCACACTACCTGAAAATCCTGAAGATCCAACATACGCGGATATTAATGTAAGTTTAAAAAATAAATAATTTAAGGGTAAAATAAATATATAAGCGTATTTAAACTATTAATAATTTTGCAACTCGTTTTTATTCCTTAAATTTTACATTTTTAAAAGGTAATTCTACAAAATGATTTCGAATTGGGTTTCTATTTAAAAGAGCGAGTCATACCAAAAGCTGTAATGTTTTTCACTGGTGAAATAGCCGATTGCTTAAGTTCTGATTCGGAAACTGATACCGATGATGAAGACGCTGAAGATAATGCTATTGCTACATCTTTGCCTACTAAATAAATAAAACATTTATTTTTAAATTAATGATAAATATATATATAGAGATTACAAACTTTATTATAATTATATAAATCAGAAATTGTACTGATTTCCCGTTCTGATTTTCCTAATTTTTACATTATTTTTTTTGTTTGTTTTATATATCTGTTTTAAAAAATAAATTTTAGTTAAAAAAGAAAATAACAATTAAGAATTTTCATTTAAAATACATTTAACATTTACATAAGTTATACATATTATAATAAGTGGAATTAAAATAATATTTATATTATTTATGAGGTGTATGTTTGTGTGTATAAGGGTTGAGAGTGTAATTTAAAATATTTATTGCAAATAAAATAAGTTTTTATAAAAACCCGATTTATAAAAAATGAAAAGAGAAAAAAAACTAACTAAATTAATAATAAAAATGGCTCTAAAAATGTTTTTGCTTACATGATTAGTTTTTTTTTACATTGTTTTAATGTATTATTGTAAATATTTAATATATAGAAGAATAAAGGAATTATTTAAAATTATTTGTTCCACATGCCAGGATGTCTGAAGCAATATGTTCAGCTAACTGATCAAACTCTTATCTGAAATAAAAAAGATCAGTTAAGAAATGATAGTGATTTCATGATTGGAAATGGTGAAATATGTAATTTACCTTACATTTTCTGTGTGCCCTGCTTACACATAAAATGTTTTAAAACTTTAAATGCCGCTCTACCGCTCTAGTTCATTCACTTTATAAAGATCATTTATTCTTCACTTAATACTGTTTCACGATACTGTGGCTTCAGTTTTCGTCACACCTAATAAGTGTTCAGCTACAACTTTACACTCGGGTTTCAATTCCTTAAAACGTTGTAGCCCCTCTAAAGTAACACTAGTGCCGCTAACATCCAAGAATATCAAATGCGGAGAACATTGCACTAAATGTTGCAACGAAACATCCGTGACCGATTTATAGTCACGTACAGAAAAACGTTCAAAACGATTTTCATATGGGCGATTATTGAAACGTATCCAGATGACACCTTGTTGTACGGGTTGGCGGGTGCGACCAAAACAACAAACACCACGATCCGAAATAGTACCACGGGATTGTTGGCGGTACGAAGAAGATAATGAAAATAGATTTAAGTGATATTCAGCACCGTTTTCTTCGCCGAATAAACGGTCAGGACCACCCACACCTACAACACGACCCAAAGGATTTACGATATCCCAAAACATGTTGTGGCGCATCAATTGTTCGATAACGGGTGGAGGAGATTGTTGTTGCTGTTGTTGCTGATTCTGCTGTGGTTGTTGTTGTGGCGGACGAGGCCGTCTTAGAGGTCTAACAATATTCTGATCACGTACGTTTATATGCGAGCAATCGATTGAAATTCGATTACGGACATTTAAGTAAAATATATGATCTGGCCGTGGTAGAAAACGGCTACGAGTTGGAGCATTTGTACCTACTAAAGGTACAATATTTGGTGATAAACTTAAACCTTGAGACAAAGTACTTGGAGTTGAGCTTGTAGCAGCAGCATTATTCTCAGCAATGCTATTCGACTTAGGCGAAGAAGCTGAAGAGGAAGAGGATGATGATGCAGATTCACTATCAGTAAAATATAAAGATGCTGGTGTATTTAATGATTCATCCGTTTTCTCACGTATATCCTCACTTCTATCTGTATCAGTATGTGATCTAGAGGTAGAAGGCGTTTCAGAATTTAGAGAACTATTTGCATTTTCCGGTGAGTTGGAGGATGTAGAGGGCATTTCTGAAAGTGTATCAAAATTTGTGCTTGAATTCGATTCTTGATTATTGCTCATTTCGCTTTGGGTGCCTGAAGACGATATAGCTTGCATACTGGTGTTATCTTCTTCTTCTTCCGGACACTGTAAATAAATTTCTTTTAAAGTCTCAACAGTATTGAAACACTGTAAATCGGAATCATTCAAGGGTGTATCGCGTAAATCTAAAACCTTAAAAACAATTGTTATTATTCGACTTTTAAGCGTACATTTTTTGTGCTTACTTCCAACTGTTTGAAACCGTGTCGTGCCGCTATACTGCCATATGGTATAAATTCTTGCATAAGCCAACAACCTTTTAGACTCAAATAACGTAATACAGGCAATTTTGATAAAGGCATAACATAGTAGGGATCAAACCAAGAATTATCTTCAATTGCTAGCTCTTCCAAATTAACCAAAATCGTCTCGATGCCAGTAAATAATGACTTGTTACTGACAACACGAACGTTGCAAGTGTTGAGAACCAAACGTTTAAGTGTTTGAGGAAAATCTTTTAAGGCAATCTAGAATAAAACGAATTTTTAATAAGTATTTAAGTAAATTTGATGGTTTTTTCATTTTTTTTACAAAAGTCATATTTACCTGATTAAAATCCAATGTTACACCATACAATTCTAATGTTACTAATTTTGTACATCTTGTAGTTAAAGAATTGAGTATAGTTTTATTGAAATGTTGTATCTCTCCCTCAATATGCTGTGAAGGAGATGGTCCTCTTAGTTTAATGCTTTTAGTTTTATCATGAGACCGTTCTAGCATATCTTCTAAAATGCCCAATGGCAAAGGTTCCTGACTGAGATCGATGTTTTCCCATAAACGTTTGTCCAAAACAAATTTTTGAAAACGTTTGCAGACACTGAAAAATAAAACCTGTATTAACTGGACTTACTCAAAATTTATATTTTTAATATTCCCATTATATCCGTTGTAGTGTAAATGGGCTATAAGAGCCCTTACGTGAGTTAGTTATATCCGATATTGCCTATATACATTGTATGTATGTACATTGCATAACAAACTAGCGTAGGTATAAAATTTGGGAGGAGTAATAAAATCAACTGGCCCATTATCAATATTTTTATTATTATTTTATTTATTGTTTGGTTCATTCCGGGGTTCAATATTAGTTGAGCTTGGTCAATGGCCTTTTTAAGTTTGTTTTACAATTTTGTCATGTAGTTTTTTTTAGTAAGAAATATAAAAACCTTTTTATCTATTGATCCAATTCAACAATAGATTGACTCTGGACAAACAATTTAATAAATAGTTTCTTAGAATGTAGAATGTTTTCATTTTTGGAAACTCTTATTTTGGAGCCTCCCTAATGTAATTATTTCAGTTAATGCACTTGAGTTAGAAATTACAAATACTTACTTCATTAACGCCATCAAAGACCAAGTATCTAAGAATTTAAATATCTCATATAACACTTCATCGCATAATTCCTCTAACAAAAATTGAGATTCTTCTTCATTGCCAACATTAATTGTATCATGCTGTGGGTGCTCATCTTCAGCACCACCATTTTTTGTTATGAATGTTGCATTTACATTGTCTATATGCGATGCCGACGTTGTTGTTGTTGCTATTTTCTTTTTTGGTGACTCATCTGAAGATTCTGTTTGTGTTGAAGAATAGTGGCGTTTACGTTTGTTGCTAGAATCAGGCTTACAAATACTATTATCATTTATATTATCTGTCGTTAAATTATCCATAGCTCTCAAGCCGCTTTAAGATAGTGGTACAATTTTAAGAAAAATTAATAACAAATTTTCTTAACAATAATTTTCAACGTAATTGTATGTATCAGAGACCTGCGCCGACAAAAATTAACAACGACGGCTAACTCCAAAAATTTCGATGGCGGCCTATGAAAGTTTTAACAGTTTTTAAAATTTTCAACGATATTGAATGAAAAGAGTTTTTTTCGAAATGTTTTGATATTTATGGACCAATTTTGTGGGGGGTAAAATAAGGAGTTATAATATATAATAAATTGATTTGAGATTTGTATCCAATAGGTACTTGGGATCAAAAATTACGCATTTAATTTGCATTAAAGAAGGAGTGTAAGGGATAGTTAAATACAATAATTTGCGTGGAATCTCCCATATGTAACAAATTGTATATCTGGAAAACCATTGTAGTTAGAATCATCAAAATCGTTAACTGGGTTTCTTATTTATATTGCTTTTAGGGTAGCACAGCACACTGGGTATAGCTAGTAAATAAACAAATAAAATATATTTGTTTTTACGTTTTATATGGAGGATAGGGTTAAATATCGGTAGATCCTCGTAAAACTTGGAGAAAGGATTTGTTTTTAATTTTTAATAATTTTTTATTCATCCCTGCATAATTTCTCACACAACTTTTGAGCTTGCTCTGTTTTGTTGTTATAAACAATATATTTGCTTCCAAAATCCCACTTTCTGATCTTAAAAACTAAAAGTAGTTGAAAACTTAGCCGGCTTACAGTCGATTTTAAGCCGCCGCCGACATATTTAGTGTCAGTCGCCACCGCCGTTAATATTTGTCGGCGCAGGGCTCTGGCTGTCAATGAGAAAAATAACTGCATGCCGAAGTATTTTGTGTGGAGAAGTATTGTTATAAAACCATAACTTTCAAAGAAAATCAAAGATTTGAATTATAAATAATGTCTTTATTGAAACAAATACATTTTTTAACAAATATACGCAATGCTACCGTTAAAACTTCTGTGCGGGCGGTCTCTACAAAGGGAGTGACACTGTCGTATGACAAAGATCCCCAACCTTTATTTACTGATCCAGAAACACAAAAGCTCCTAAAATCCATTACCCAGTTGAGGCTTAGCAAAATATTTCGCAAACGTGCCGTTAAGGATAATTCGGTAGAATATAAATTCATGACCAACGAAGATTTGGAGGAAGAGTTCCGTAAAACGGTAGAAAAGGCAAAATTAAAGTTACAAATGCCTCCTGTGGTTAAGATCAAAGAAGATGAACAAAAAATCATTTCAGAAGATAAAGCTCTAAAAGATTTCTCTAATACAAAATTTGTTATTACAGACATTACATTCGGCGTCCGTCATACGGATCGTAAGGTAGTTGTACGTGAAACTGATGGCACTCTACGTTATGCTCCCATGGATGTAGCCAAACGCATGAAACAACTTTATGTGCCGCTGGATGGTCGCAGTATACAGACACCTAAAATGTTTGAAGATGAACATTTGCAAAGATGTTTGGATGAGCTTAAATATGAATTCATTTTGGATCGTCTTTTGGTTCAGTATGATCCCTACGAACCGGAATTCCATAGGATTAGCGCCAAAGTATATCAGCATTTAAATGAGACCAAAGAATTTGAACAATTACGTTCAACTCGCCACTTTGGTCCAATGGCATTTTTCTATGCCTGGCACAAGACTATAGATGATCTGCTCTATGACATGATTAGACGTGATTATCTACGTAATGGAGCCGAACTAATTGCTCTTTATTATAAAATGCATAGTGTACCGGAAAATTACTCCGAACTTTTGGCCACACTAGATCAGTACAATAACTTAGAAGAACCCGCTCTTAAAGAATTACAAAGCACTTTAAAGCCTGCGATTAAGGATGATATACACGAAGAAATTGAAACGGCTATCGGTAAATCGGCGAAAGACTTTGAGGTGGATGAGTTATGCTTGAAGTTTATCGACAACTATGTTGCCTCTCATGCTCTAAAGAAGGTGCAGTTGGAATTAGCCATACAGACACTGAAAGAAATCAATGCTGAGAAGAAACAACTATATGAAGGTTTGAGTAAGGCACATGGTGTACAAAAATCAAGTTAATTTTAAATTTATTAAGTTTAAACGATTTTTCTTGTTAAAAACTGGCGAACTAATTACTAGTGAAAATAAAAGCGATAATTTACGTAAAATAAAAAAAATATTAATATTTCTTGATTTATTAAATACAATGAAAGTGGATATGCGTTGTTTTTTTATTATAAGATGACTTTTAAAATTTTATTTAATTAATCTTCTATTAGCAACTACCTACTGAATTTGCTTTCCCATATCTTTTTCGTAGCAATCTCTTTCGAAATTTGGTTAGACACTTCATACGGTGATGATTAAATACCGATCTGTTGGTAAATGGCCTTAAACAAATCTTACAAGTTCCTTGTTTTGCGACACGCTGCGACAAGAACGTCTTTACTAATATGGTGCGTTTCTTAAAAGTGTGCAAAGTAAAAACCCTCACACGACATAATCGTTCTTTGTGTGATTCCAAACCATAGACATAAAATCGTTTACGTTTGGCGCTCGTATAGCATTTAGCCCTGATTAGGATGTGACGTAAAAATTCTTGACCAGTACAAAATCCCCTACGACACGCAGAGCACTTATACATGCGATTGTTGTCATGTTCGTTAATGTGATCGTAAAGCTCCAGATGCGAAATCGCCGCTACACTGCAGCTGTGATGGGGACATTGCAAAAAAGCCTTTTCCAACTGCTTTTCTTTGTAACAATTATGTTTAAACAGCAATTTCTCATTGTCCAAGTATTGACCGCATTTAGAGCATAAGATCCTAGGTCCTTGATGAATGGCCATGTGACCATAGAAGTATTTTTTTGATTTGCATACCTCACCACATATTAAACATTCTTTAAAATTTTTGTGCTGCGCTGAATTATCTTTAACAAACTTTAGAAAACTTTCTATATCAATTTCCGGATTTTCTTCATTTCCAGAAGGCTTATCAGTGATTGGCGTCCATTCATCGCCTACATCATATATTTCCTCATCAAGTTTGCATTGTATAGCAATAGACTTCGTATTTAGTGTTGATAGTTCGGTCTGTTGAGTTTGATCATTAACAGTAGGTCTGACCAATGGCCTGTTTGTAATTCCCAACGTGTTTAGATGAGGATTTGTAGCCACAGAACTTGTTATTAAATTTTTACCGCCTATTTCATTTGCGTTGAAATTACAGCTACTTGTAAATGCTGTTTTTAAAGGGATTATTGGACCTGTTGTTGCTGGTTGTAATGATGCCGCTTTTGCTTGAATACTAAGTGTAACTGTGCTAGGTTTTGGAAGAGTTGTGGCAACTTTTGTAGCTACCAGACTATCTTCCTGTCTAGTCAGCTCCAATTTTCCATTTTTATGTGTAATGTAAAATAATTGTTCACATTGCTTGGGCTTGTAAACTGACGCATGAGTTATAAAACGAGTTTCCACGCATATTGTTTCAGGAATTTCATGGCAATTGACCATAAACACTTCCTTAGGGTTCACAGATGTTGCCATTACGTAGGCGAAATTTACGTTTTATCCTTTCAGTAGTAAATATGTATATTATTTATAAATTTTTAAGAAAACAGAAAATATTGTTTAAATAAAATTGTGTTTACCTTTTTTGACAGATTTACAGGCCAGTGTCGGATCGCCTGCAAATCAACAAAACCTGTCCGCGCCGGCACAATTTTAATAAAAACAATTCTTTTTATCAAATGCTATAATTCTTTTAGAATTAGCGTCGACATGAAATTGTTTTGGTTCTGTACTCTAATTATAAATGTATTTTAATTCAAACGAGATTAATAACCTGATTCGTAAAAATTTACCAATAATGTTAATATTCTTCAAATTTTGATGTTTTAGAAATATATGTACATATTTATAACATACTAAAACAGAATTAAAAATTGATTTATTTAAAAATTAAAAAATATGTACCTGTTTTTTGTTTCTCATTCGTAAAAAAAACAACTCAATGTTTTTTTTTTAATTTAAGATTCTCGATTTTTAATTTTTTAAATTTTGAAATTGTCGACTATTCGAACTTTTGCTAATATAGACTTTTCGACTATTTTCAACTTTTCAACTTGTTGTAATATTTATGTGTAAATTTTAGTTTTTTAGTTATTATGTATGTTTGTAACGATAACTACCTACCTATGTCCGTCTTATTATTTTTTATTTCGACGTTTTCCGACTTATCAATTTTGTTCGGCTTTTATTTACAAAATCGAAAGATAGTCGACTTACCGACCTCGATATTTTCAACAAAAAGTCTATTGATAGAACCCTACTTTGAATTCATAATATCCTTTGTGAATTCTTAAAGGAGAATAAAGAAAATGAGTAATAAACAATTAAATAAAGTTATAAGCCAAACTTGAATTTAAAATACATACATACCTCTATTATAAAAAATATTTAATGTATACTACATATTTGTCAAGCCTTTCAAAGCCTGTTCAATGTTATCACTTCAGAGTGATTTCCATACAACAAACAAAAAACTTTGTATATATACACAAAGTGTATTAATACAGTGGCGGCATAACCCCAGCTGTATATTTTTTTCAAATATAAAAGTAACAAAAACAACAAAGATATTTTGACAGCTACTTAGCTTATAACAAAACCAGTAGGCAATTTTGACAGATAGGTAGCTGTAAAACAAAAACAATTGGCTGTGGTTGTGATAGATATTTTTGTTGTACAACAAGCACGGTCCTCACTTTATTAATACGTTTTGTATACATAGAAGCGGTGTATATTTTTTTGCATTATCGCGGGTTGTTGTTGCGAAATTTATAAAGTTTGTTAAATTTAATAAATTAATTTAAAAACTAATTGCAAAAATGACTAGTGAATCGGATATTGATGCAAATGATGTCTTGCGTATAATGATATCGACTGATAATCATTTGGGCTATGGAGAAAAAGATGCAGTGAGGGGTAAGAAAAAAAATTTTGGCGTCAGTAGTATAATGGGATGGATCACTGTACTTTTTGTGAAATGAAATGATTTACATATGTACATTTGTTTTATGCACTCTCATATGTACATTATATTTACTTTTAATATAATGTTGCAGGTGAAGATAGTTTTCTGGCATTTGAAGAAATGTTGGAATTGGCTGTCCGTGAGGATGTGGACTTTATATTGTTAGGGGGTGATTTATTCCATGATGCCGTGCCCAGTCAAAATGCATTGCACAAGTAAGTCAAGTTGGTATTAATTAACAGTGCTGATAAAAATGTATGCCTATTTGCAGATGCATGAAATTGTTGAGAATGTATACTTTTGGAGATCGACCAATTACGGTGGAGTTTTTAAGTGATGGCAGTCAAAATTTTCATAATGCCGTTAACGAAACGGTTAATTATGAAGACCCGAACTTAAATATTTCCATACCTGTCTATTCTATACATGGAAATCATGATGATCCAAGCGTTTTTGGTGGTCTTAGTTCTTTGGACTTGCTATCGACCACTGGTTTGGTGAACTATTTTGGCCGCTGGACGGACTTAACTAGAATTGATATAGCTCCCATTCTCTTAAAGAAGGGAGATACTAAATTAGCCCTCTATGGTTTGAGCCATATACAAGATATGCGTTTGGCACGTCTTTTCGAAAGTCGTAAAGTCCATATGCAAGTTCCAGAGGGTGGAGAAGGTGAATGGTTTCATTTAATGGTTTTGCATCAGAATCGTGCAGATCGTGGCCCTAAAAACTATTTGCCCGAAGAGGCCCTGCCAGACTTTCTTAATTTAGTTATCTGGGGCCATGAACATGACTGTCGCATAGAGCCAGAGCACAATGTTAAAAGGGATTTCTATGTTTGTCAGCCGGGTTCGACGGTCCCTACTTCTCTGGCCGAGGGAGAGTCTTTGCGCAAACATGTAGCAGTTTTGGAAATATATAAAGACAAATTTCAAATGAAACCCATACCACTGCAAACAGTTCGTCCTTTTGTATTTGAATCTGTCAACATTATGGATTTAGCCGAAGAACTGCGTTTAGATGAGGGTGATGCCTCCAACAAAGTACGTGCTATGGCTGAAGAGAAAGTAGAGGTCATGTTGGAAAGAGCTAAGCAATTACTAACAGGGCATCCAAAACAACCGACATTGCCATCAATAAGATTGCGATTAGTATTCACGGACGAGGACCAAATGTTCAATGGCATACGTTTGGGTCAAATGTTCAATGAGCGTGTGGCTAATCCGGGCGATATGATACATTTCAAAAAAATGATCAAGAAAGAGAAAAAGGAAAAATCTAATTTTGATAAAGAGGAAATGAAAAATCAATTTAAGAAAATGGTTTGTTTTATTCAATAAATCTCAAAAGTTTTATTTCTACGTTTATCATTCAACATTTTAGGAAGGAGAATCAGCTGCTCGCGTAGAGGACTTAGTGGAGCGTTATTTTAATGAGGTTGACGATAGCAAGGCTCTCAAAGTACTATCAACAAAAGCCTTAACTGAGATCTGTCATCAATTGGTTGACCGTAAAGACAACAACGCTGCCGACAATTTAATAAGGTATGTAGATATTTTAAACTGTGATTACTCGTATTCTTATTTGCTATTTTTTCATTTAATTATATCAAAGATCATACAAAGCAAAAGCTGTTGAATATTTAATGGATAAAATGCCGGCCGAAGATGAGTTGGATGTTCAATTGACACAATTTAAATTAAATGTTACCTCTGATGACATTTTAGAAATGTTAAGTACTACTCATATAAATACTGCTACTAAGACGTCCATCAGCAGTTTGGGCAATTCCAACTACAACAATGATGATGATGAAAACTCAGACGAAGAAGATGACGAAATTCCCGTCAAACAGACTCGATCCTCTGCTTCAGCTGCTGCTTCTAGAGGAAGTCGTGCTAGAGGCAGAGGTGGCAAAGCAACTACAACTAGCAAAACAACAACTTCAAATAATTCGAATACATCCCGTTCCCCAGCCGGACGATCTAACAAACATACCATGCCAGCATTAGAAACCTCAAGGGCAACTGTAAGATTTACAAAAATTATTACGTTATATAAATATTTAGGATACTAATAGTTACAAAAATTAAACTTCTTTTAGCGATCATCTCCACGTAAACAGGCAACATTGTTCAATATGGTGGGATCCAGATCTAAACAGAAAATTTATGAAGTTTCTGATTCCGATTCTGATTAAAGATGTTTATATTTCATACTTATAAGATAACTTTTTTTATATGAAATAAAGAAAAGTATTCCAGTGAGATATCTTTCAAAAATGTTTAAATGTAACGTGTTATAATTGATAATTTTTAATCATAAGAAATCCATATAATCCGTATATATTTATTGTAAATTTTTTCAATTGCATCAAGATCTGTCAATTTTCACTATGTGATAGGTATTTTTTTAATCCTTATGATCCATATATTTATTTTTTTAATTCCTTTTCACATTTCAAAATATGTAACAAGATTTAAATACTTACATACATATGTTCTTTGAAAAAAATGTATTTAATTTATAAAAATTTAAATCGATACCCGGAAAGAAAAAGAAAAAAATCAATATAAAACAAATACAATTTTAAAAATCACCTTTATTTGCCTTCTTAAAAAAGGATCGTTTTAAAAGTTAATTTTTTTAAAATCGAATGAATTATAAAAAAGCAGACTTTTCAATCTTCCGATTGTCGATATTTTACCATGTTTCCACTGAGGCGTTTTGAGAAAATCTAGTGAATTTTAATGATGTTCAGCTGCAACAAGATTCCCAAGATTTTATATAAAAATAAATCAAAGATTATTTCAAGTTTATTAGAGATGAAGATTTCATTTTATTTCTACCAAAATATTACCTCGTAGAAGTATGTAGATGTTTTTTAAATGTAATATGTACGTAGTGCTTGTGTTGTATACAAATAAAAGGTGATTTATAATGTCAAAACGACACAAGCATAAATTTGGTGGCAGACAATATTTATGGATGAAATCGGTCAATTATTTCACCTAGCCCCCATACAACCTTACCTTTCGATTTAAGGTTTTTAACTCATAACTATGTCAAATATACTACTATCTCACCAAAAATTGGCACAACTAAGTTCTATATAGGCATAAATGACCATGCCAATTTTTATAATGACCGGCCGTCGTTTGACCCTAGCCCCCATACAAACCCACCCTTTAAAACATAACTTAAACGTCCAAAAATTTACTTATAACCACTTATATATCGCAATGAAATTCAACTAACCTTTATATAAAATTACAGTCGTCTTCCAAATTTGTTGAGGATCGGCCCATATTTGACCCTAACTCCCATATAAAGTCTCATTTTGAAATTTACTTTTTCATCAATAAATTACTTAAATAAATCGGAATTAAGGTAAAATTCAACATAAAAGTTTGTTTATGAAAAATAAATAATTTTTAAAATATACCCATGGTGTAGGGTATCATATAGTCGTCCATGTCCGACTATACTTTTCTACTTGTTTTAAACAAAATTTCGAATTATAGTACCTCGAAATCGCTTGAATTTCTACTAAATATTAGTTAGATAAGCTTTAGAATCGCTAAATGTTAAAACAAAAAGTAGCTAAATTAACATCACTGGTGAAATGAAAAATGACAAGATGAATTTATACAAGTGTATGCGATAGTACAGCTGATATTTTTTATATATAGACGTTGCTATACGCCGTCTGTCAAAACCAATATAGAAAAAATTGACAGTTAGATTGTACATTTACATGTGATATCATTTTATTAATATTCACAGCAACATGACAACTTGGAAAGTGCTTTTCCGTAATCTCGTCCATTTCTTTTTTTTCTGGCTAGAACTCTGGTTCAGCGCTGCTCAAAACAAAGAGATTTGAATACCTCGACCGGATTTCTATATAAAAATGGTAATTATTTCAAAAATTCAGTTTATATCGTTGTGTATTAATTCAAAGTACAGTAAAATGTAACAATTGGAATTCAAGTAATAAATATTTGATTTCTTTCGTTTACACGTGTTAAAACAACCAACCTAACCTCACTTTGTTTTTTCTATTAGGCTGCTGCTCCTAAGGATATTGAGAAGCCCCAAGGCGCTGATTCTTCTTCCGTTCATCGCATCCGTATCACTTTGACCTCAAGAAACGTACGTTCTTTGGAAAATGTGTGCCGCGATTTGATCAACGGTGCTAAGAACCAAAACTTGCGCGTCAAGGTACGTAGTAATAGCAGCTAATTAATTTGTATCCACTATAGCATTTACCTGGAGGTTTAGTTTCTTAAATAGACTTAACCTAGTCATAATAGATGCTAGATTAAGACACTTAAATCGGACATTATTCTTAATTTAATTTATAACGAGTTAAGAAATTTTTAATGGTTTAAGTACAAAACAATCACATTTATAAAACTACAATTTTATTTGTAATTCAGTAAATAATTTGGTTTTTATATTTTTTCAGGGCCCAGTACGCATGCCAACCAAAGTTTTGCGCATTACCACCCGTAAAACTCCTTGTGGTGAAGGTTCAAAGACTTGGGATCGTTTCCAGGTAATTATTTCACAATATTTTCTTTCAGCAAATTTGATATCGGTTTTAGTGTGCAATCTTTTGATTGGTTTTTAACTTTAACCAGTATCTTATAAATTTGCTAAGACTAAACGCCCTCTCATAGTCCCTCTGAAAGATTATCTACTTTCTTATGGCTCTCAGAGTTCTACACTAAAAATTAGTATATATGTTAGTTATTTAAAACTTTAATACAAATAAATTAATTTAAAAAACTACATAATTTAATGTATTCTTATTTTGTGTTTCAGATGAGAATTCACAAGCGCATCATCGATTTACACTCCCCATCTGAGATCGTCAAGAAGATCACCTCCATCAACATTGAACCTGGCGTAGAAGTTGAAGTTACCATTGCCAACTAAATAGTACATCTTCATGGTGTATAATTTTAAACTTTTTTTTAATAAAAGTGACAATTTAAACTAAAAAATCTGTAGAACAATTATTTTTATATGTATATGGTCTAAGCTTTACACTGTAGAGGGAGGGATAAAACGCTATTATTTGATAATTTATTTACATACATATGTTTATATTATCCTATGGTACACTGAAAAAAATCCGTGCCTAATATATACGGAAAATGTCGTACATTGTCCGAATCGTTCGTTGTTTCGCACCACGAAATTCTTTCGTAATATACACGAAATTGTACGAAATATTTTAGTATAATGCAAAATAATCTTGGAAAACTTAGTTTACATAAATTGAAAAAAGTGAATTTTGAATAAATATGGTAAAATTTACCAAATATTAATTTATGCAAACATTTTTGTTTATTTTAAAATAATTTTTCTAATTTTAGTTCAAAATTATTCTCCACACGAATTTTTAATTTTTTTTATGAAAATAATTCGTGAATAATATTATACTTTTTCTTAAATTTTATAAAAATGTTGTAGTTTTATTTAATGATAATTTAATTAATATCATTATGTTTTATTTCGCTAAAATTTAAGAAAAAAATATTACGAAAGGTTTTCTTACTTTCGTAAAAATAGAAAAGGGTTTTATTAAATAATATTTCGTATTATACACGAAATTTTTGTAAATATTACGAAAATAGAAGTTACGAAATTTTTTTTCGTAAAGTTGAGCATGGATTATTTTCAGTGTACGAAAAGTGCCAATTGGCTCCTTTCACTAGGGTTCTATAAATCGACTTTCGAATAATCGAACAATCGACTTTTTGTCGAAAAAAGTCGAAAAGTCGAAGTCGACTATTTTGTTCCAAAAAAGTCGATAACTCGACTATCGTCTATGAAAAAAGTCGAAAAGTCGACTTTGTAAATAAAAGTCGAAAAAAGTCGAAAAGTCGGAAAGTCGAAAAAAGTCGAAAAGTCGAAAAAAGTCGAAAAGTCGAAAAAAGTCGAAAAAAGTCGAAAAGTCGAAAAAAGTCGGAAAAAGTCGAAAAGTCGAAAATTTTAAAAAAGTGGAAAAGAGGTCAAAAACTCTAAAATAGTCGGAAAAACTCGAAAAAAGTAAAAAATAGTCGAAAAAAGTCGAAAAAAAGTCGAAATAAGTCGAAAATAGTCAAAAAATCGTAAAAAATCGAAAAGTCGAAAAGTCGGAAAAAGTCGAAAAGTTGAAAAAAGTCGGAAAAAGTCGAAAAAAGTCGAAAAGTCGAAAAAAGTCGAAAAGTCGAAAAAAGTCGAAAAAAAGTCGGAAAAAGTCGAAAAAAGTCGGAAAAAGTCGAAAAGTCGACCATTTATATAATACTAAAAGTCGAAAAGTCGACTTTTAAATAAATGAAAAAGGTCGAAAAGTCGAAAAATCGACTTTTCATAAAATGGAAAAAGTCGAAAGGTCGAAAAGTCGACTTTTAACTAAATGCAAAAAGTCGAAAAGTCGAAAAGTCGACTTTTCGTTTCAACTATAGAAACCTACCTTTCACTAGTTATATAAATAACATTGCTAGTGGGTTGAAAATTCACTAAAGCGACACGGCCACACATCAAATTTGTTTAACTCAAACGGTAAGTTTTTTGATTGTGTTAGTGAAAAAACTCACATGTACATATGCCCTGCAGTTCGACAAAGAGTCAATGCATAGGAAAAAGACAGTGATTTCCACTTATGTTAAACCACCTGGTGGGCTCCAATTCGGCTTTAGTCACGGAAGTACTTTTTGTAAACTAGGGTGAAGGTAAACCTTTAGTGTCCCCTTTATAAGCGAGAGACACTTGCACTGTCTCTTTGTAACCTATGGGGTGACGATTGACTTCCTCGTAGGACAAGCACATGTTAAAATAGCTAGTTACCTGGACAGTCGGTGGCTAGGGGTAACCCTATGTGCTAGGCTAAATAGGGAGTTCGGGAGTGTCCGCCCGAACTGCTGGGTGCGGTGTGAGTTTTTTTTTACTAATGCAATCAAAAAACTTACCGTTTGAGTCAAACAAGTGAGTCTAAGTGGCTTTTGATATCGCCTTTGTCGAACTAGTTCATCGTACTGCAGGGTAGGTTTTAAGAGAAAATACTGGTTGTGATCGTGATGCACGATACAACGATAAGCAAACTACTGCTATTGAAAATAAAAAGAGATATTGCATAAATTGGCGCAACTCGGTATGTAGTTTTTACAATATAATTTTCCGAGAATATAAAGTATACATATGAATATTCCTTACAGATATCGGAATCGACAATCTATGTATTCTGTAATAATTGTCAGCATGATTACACTTTTTTGAATGCTATTTTTGTTTAAG